TTGCCCTTTGGGGTTGGCCAGGTTGCTGACCACCCCCAATTAGGCATCCCTCAATAATAGAAAAAACTGAATCTCACAGTGCTGATAATGATTAGTACAAAGTTGCATGGCTAGATAGATACCCTAGAGAAAGTCAGAATTGAGACAGAAAATATATTATGCATCCATTAAATATGCGGTTGGCTACATGCAAGAGAAACTCTGGATTCAGACAGACTTCATCACAAGGAAATTTAATTATCTCACATTACTAGGAAATCAGAGTTGGGAGGGCCCTGAGCAGCATAGTTTCATAATTGACTCCCTCATTCTGTCTGCTATCCTCAGTGTATAAGCCAGTATGGGTTAGGATGTGCTGCAATAACAGACTTTAACTCTAGTGTCTTAAAAAATTATATATATATATATATATATATATATATATATACATCTCCATCCATCTATGTATGGTGGGGCACTATTTTTACAAGCTCTCAGGAACTCCTTAGTTAAGGTTTTGTCCAGGCTGACAAAACCACTCCCATGCAGAACATTGCTGATCACCATGCCAGAAGGAAATGAGAACTCTAGAGTATCTTATAGAAGCAATTATGTGCTCTGCTTCAGAAATAACACACATACTTCCTACTTACAACTCATTGACTAGTACTAGTCACTTGCCACTTCCACTCACAAGTGGACCAAGAATAGCAATCCAACTATATGTCTGAAAGGCAAAGCTATTYAGTGAACAGCAGTAATGTTATCAAACTGAATGTCAACATTCAATTACAGTCCTCCCCTCAGGTCATATTTTCCAGAGAAAATTAAAAAGAAGAATAATTGTCACTATTTTTAAAAGCAAGGAAAATTTCCCCAAACTCCCCCCAACAGACTTCCCTCATTTAGTATTGGCCAGAACTGAATCACATGACCATTCTTAAAAATCACTGCTGATGATTAAATAGGATTATTATGCTCTGCTCAATCCAGTTGGGATCTACCTTTTAGAGCCAGGGATTGGAACACTTTTCTCTGAATCTCAGGGTTGTCTGTTGTTGGCATAGGTGTTGGAAAGATAATTCTTCTCTGGCACTTTTTAATGAATCAAATCCACAAAGAAAGGATGCTTCGATACTGTCAACAATTCAGATTTAGAAAATAGAAGGGAAAAAGAGAGGAATGCCTGGTTGGGAGTGCTCAGCAACCTGGCCAACCCCAAAGGGCAAACCAGGAGGGCTGGAGGTATTAATTAAAAAAATAATAATAATGTACATCAAAATGAGTTGGAATAAATAACCCCTGAGATCCTATCCAACCCTGAGACACTATTATTATTGGTAAGTCTATTGATGCCACCATTTGTGAAGATGCGGGGTCAAAATAGATTCGTTGGTGGGGTGGGAGGGGGGTCTGAGAAACCAAATCAATTTCAAATCCTATTTGACTCGTTTCTTCTGCCTACTCCTACGAAGATCTTAGATATGGAAAAGCAAATTCTGGAATAATTAAGGGGATGTGAAAACTCAGGGAAGAAGACAGGAATGAAAAGGGTTAAAAATTACACATAGGCAGGGTGTGGTGGTGCATCCAAGGGGCTTGGGAGGTGGAGGAGGCAGGAGTATCACAAGTTCAAAGCCARCCTCAGCAATTTAGCGAGGCGCTGAGCAATTCAGTGAGACCCTGTCTCTAATAAAGTACAAAATAGGGCTGGGGATGTGGCTCAGTGGTAAAGTGCCCCTGAGTTTCATCCCCRGTGCACCCCGCCCCAAAGAAAAAGAAATTACACACAGTATGGGGCTGTTATTTTTCAAGTATGTTCTTAAGATTACCTGTATACCTATATTCTCTCCTGAGATTTCAGTTTTTGCCCTGGACAGCTCCACACATCTCCCAAAGGTACCTGAATAAGAGTTATGTTAACTTTATAATGAACTTCCACCTTTGACTTTGCTTACCATCTTCACTATGGCACCAACTACCAGATATATACTTCTCACCATTCCCGTTTCTTACCTGGATTATTAGGACAGCTGTCCAAATTGCTTCTCCGGCATCCAGTCTAGTGTTTCCTTATTCACTTGACTTAGAGATCCAGCAAACATGAAATTCTGATAGTGTCTTCCCCTAATTAAAACCCACCAACAGTTTCCCATCAATTGTGGAATAAATTCAAGTTCTTTGTCAGGGACACAATAGCCTCCTGCTGGCCTTATTTGGAAGAGTCCCTCAGGGTTTATGCTAAACTGTATTGGAGCTCACACACCCACTGATTTGCCTATCAGCTACATTAACTCTTTATAACTTCCGGATTTTCCTGTTCTTTTTGTTGTTAGTGACCTTCCCTTCTTGTTTTATTAACTCTTTCCTTGTGTGTGTGTGTGTGTGTGTGTGTGTGTGTGTGTGTATGCGCACGCCCCAGCAAGTGCACGCCAGGGATTGAACTCAGGGGCACTTGACCGCTGAGCCACGTCCCCAGTTCTATTTTGTATTTTATTTAGAGACAGCATCTCACTGAGTTGCTTAGTGCCTCACTTGTGCTGAGGCTGGCTTTAAATTCGAGATCCTACTGCCTCTACCTACTGACCTGCTAGGATTACAGGAGTGCAAGGCAATTCTTAAATCTTTCTTCAAGATGCTGTTCCTTACCTCACTGAGAAAGTTGTCTTTGACGCCTCCCCCCAATCTCTGCCTTTTAGGGTGGGGCTAGGTGCCTGTCATCTGTTCTCAGAATACTCTTTGCCCCCCTTTGTCTGGAACATTTAACCATGCCACATGGAATCTTTTGATTTTTCAGCCTCCCCAGTGGGCAAGTTCACTGTSCTAGAGAAACGGTAGTGTCCTATTTATTCTTCATCTTAGCACTTACCACCGTGCCTGACAGAGAGTGGGCACTGAACAAACGTTTGTTAATCAGAACATTAAGAAGAAATGGCATTGAAGGAATAAGAGTAAGTGCAGAGGAAAAGGGAGGGAAATGGAGAGGTAGTGCATGCATCCCTTCCTCCTAGGATGAGAATCATCTCCTCCCTGTCTTGGAATCTGGGTCCCAGCTTCAATGCATCAATCCCTCAGTTGAGAAGAGACCCTCTGCTTTTCCTGAATGGGGATCCCTGGGTCACAAGTGAATGGGACAGAAAGGAGAATTTCAGGAAAAATTCCCCATTGCCATCACCCTGACAGTCTGTCCACTGCCTTTAAGCAAATCAAGCAGGTCATGCAGGCAGAATTTGGCCTTAGCTACTGCTTTTTTTTTTTTTTCTTCTTCTTCCTTATTTTCCCCCATCTCTTCCAAAGACACTAACCAAAGACTGTTGTTGTGACTCCCTTTTGGAGTGGCCTCATAGCTTTGAAAGTTAGATGGGTCTCCACAGACCTGGCCATGCACAAGAGTGTACCCCTCTGGACACAAATCAGCTACAATATAGGAATTTCAACACACGGATACAGGAATTTCAAAGATGAGACTTAGAAACTTAGACAGATGAGACTTAAAAACCTACTGGGCCTCAACGCTGGAAAAAGTAAAGTTGGGGAAAGAGAGAATAAGAGGTGCCACTCAGCACGGGAGCTATTTTGCACCCATGTGAGAGCTGGAGGAGGGTACTCAAGGGGAAGAGTAGAGGTTCCTCGGGCTGATTGGTTGGTGTAATAATCTAGGGCAAGTCACTAGACCCCTGGCCTCAGTTTCGAAACCTGTAGCAATGGGTTTGACCTCTTTTCTTGGCTGCAAACATCACCACTAGGGAGAGGCAAAGACTTGCAAAAACCCCAACTCCCTTACTGGTAGCACGCGCTGGGGGCTCCGGTAGAATAGGAACCCGCTGGGAGGGCTGGGGGGGGCCATGGCAAGAGCGGGGGTCTAGCCCTGCTGCGGGCCACTCCACAGGGGACACTCTCCCCTTGTTCCTGGTCCCCTCAGCACTCCTGGTTCCCCGTGTTGATTTACCGGTGTCCGGGGATTTTTGTGACGCGGAGCTCCTGGTGCCGAGAGCCGGGAAAAGCAAACAAGAGTCTTACCCTCCCACCCCCTCCAACCCGGGCGCCCAGGCGTGTAAACGTGGGCGGCGGCGAGCGGCTGTCCTCTCCTCCCTTYCCCTCCCCTCGCGGCGCTCCCGTGTGTGCGGGTGTGTGAGTGCGTGTGTCTCCCTCGCTCCCTCTCGCACACGCTCTGGCACTAGTGCAGGCGGCGAGCCGGCAGCTCTCGGCTCGGCTCGCTCTCTCTGGCCGCTGGGCTCCCGCCTCACTGCTGCCGCCGCCGCCGCCTCTGCAGTCGCAGCCGGGCATGGTGAGTGAGTGAGGTCCAGCTGCCGCGCGCTCCCCCGGCTGCCGGCCAGACCCCAACCTCAGCGGGCTCCGTCCCGGGAAGCCAGCCTGCGGCGGAAGCACGCTGCGGGGCTGAACGGTTGGGGGCCGGGGCGGCTGCGAGGTGCTTGGAAAGACTGCCGGTGCGCCCTCGGTTCCCGGCGCGCAGGGCCACCGAGCCCCGTCTTGGAAACGGGTTCCGCGCCCCTCCCGGCCCTAAGCTAGCTCCTCGAGGGCTACGCGCTGAGCTCCCTCCCTGCCCTCCGCTCCCCTCCTGCCTCCAGGAGCGCCCGTCGCCCCACCCCGTGACTGGTTCCCCCGTCTTGTCCCGCAGGACCCGCCCGGACGGGACCACGCCGCTGCTGCCGCTCGGAGCCGCGCTTCGGGTCCTGCCTGAACCCAGCCGCTCCGGGCCGCCGCCGGCGGGGGATGGGGCTGCCCCGGAGGCGCGCCGATCCCGCAGGGGAAACGCCGAGCCGGCGCGCAGCGTGAGAGCCCAGAGCAACCCGCGCCCGGCCGGTCCGTGCGCACGGTGCGCCGCCACCGCCGCCGCTGCCGCCGCCGCCAGCCGCTCGCGCCTCGATGGCGACATTGCCCSGGCGTCGCTGACCGCCCGGCGCCGCCACCCCAGCCCGCGTGGCCGTCCTCGGAGCCCGGCCGGCCAGGGTAGAGGCCTGCCGCGGAAGCCTCCCCGCGCCCTCCCGCCCGGCCCCGCCATGGCGCTGCGGAGCCTGCTGCTGCTGCTGCTGCTTTCGCTGGAGTCCCTCGACCTGCTGTCCGGCGCTCACGCCGCCCGCGGCCGCGCTGCCAACCGGACCCTGAGCTCCGGCGCCGCTGCCGTCGGGGGCCGGCGGCCCGGGGGCGCCCTGGCCCGGGGCGGCCGCGAGCTGAACGGCACCGCCCGGGCGCCTGGAGTCTCGGAGGCGGGGAGCCGGCGGGGACAACCCGCGGCGGCGGTAGCGGCGGCGGCGGCGGCCAGCGCGACCGTCACCTACGAGACGTGCTGGGGCTACTACGACGTGAGCGGCCAGTACGACAAGGAGTTCGAATGTAACAACAGCGAGAGCGGTTACCTGTACTGCTGCGGCACCTGCTATTACCGCTTCTGCTGCAAGAAGCGCCACGAGAAGCTGGACCAGCGCCAGTGCACCAACTACCAGAGCCCCGTGTGGGTACAGACGCCCAGCACCAAGGTAGTGTCGCCAGGGCCCGAGAACAAGTACGACCCCGAGAAGGACAAGACCAACTTCACCGTCTACATCACTTGCGGGGTGATTGCATTCGTCATCGTGGCCGGCGTGTTCGCTAAGGTCTCCTATGATAAGGCCCACCGCCCTCCGCGGGAGATGAACATCCACAGGTGAGAGCCACTGCCTGGTGCCTTCCCCCACTCTCCTCTTGACCTCACTTCCTCTTAATATGTCTCCCTTGTTCTCTGCACTCACACCTCCCTTGATCCTAAGTCTCTCTAACCATCGCTTGTTTCACATGCACTAGATCTTGTACCTCTTCTCCATGTCCTAGGAACCTGAATGCATGCTTTGGAGGTACGGGGGTTTGCAAGGCAAAGTGAGAATAGATGAAGTCTGTAAAGTTCAAGTATAAGAATTTTACGAATTCTGTAATCCTGAATGGGGATCCAGGGTTCTGTTTTGATGGCATGTGGGCACTTTGGTGTAGGTTCTTAATGGCAGTTAGTTTTTTTCCTCTCAGAACAGAGTGTCAGCTTCAGTCCAGGTAATGAACCAATGTTGGGGCTCACTGAAAAGAATACCAAGTGATTTAGTATCCTGGGATGCTCTGGGATGCTAGAGATGGGGTAATGTGGGATGGCTGCCTCCCATGGGTGGAAGGAACAAAGGTTTCTCCATTCCATGTTGACCATGCACAGATGGCTGTTTTAGAGCTCCAAAGGACAAGTCTGTAGGCAGAACTCTATAACAGTTCTTGCACGTTCATTCTGGTGGGGTATCTTTCACAGCATTCATGGGGTTGCCTGCTACTAAAACTTATGCCAGGAGTTCAAAACATGATAGTCCGTAATTCCACTCTGACCATCTCCCATCCCATCACTCTGGCTCCCAGCCTAATGGAAAGTCAAAACTAAGGGGACAATTAAAACCCATCCCTTCCTTTAGGATCCACAGACACAAAGTTAGCTCTGTTTCCAGTGCCCTCAAGATAAATGACTAGATGTGGTTCAACAGAGTCCTTTCAGGGAACCTGAAAATCCTGCCAGGGAAATCCTCCATTTCTGGCACATGGTATGAGTACTGTCCTAGTAAGCATGACCACTCCCCAGACCACTGCTTCTGAGTTGGCTCATGGAACTCCATCCTCACCCATCCACCTTGAGTTTATTTCTGCACTCTGCTCACTATCTTTGTGCACTGAAAACCTCCGCTCAGTATTGTGGACATTAATCACCCTTACTTTGCTGAAGACAGGGGAAGGCAGATAGAAATTTTTAAGACATGCTTAAAGAGCTGATCTATTATTGTTGTTGTTATTTGTTATTATTACTGTGGGTGTGAGAAAAGATGATAACTCCTTGGAAGGTTTTATTGAGTCAAATCCACTAAATGTGGGTATTTGAAACTTGAGTGCTGGAATTGGGGGTTGGGGTCTCTGAAGAGTCATACGTTTGTAACTCTCTTTCATCGCCCCCAGGTTGCCCCTGCCCTTTCTTCTTCCCGCACCTTATCTCTCAGGTAGTGCAAATTTACTCAGCATCCTCTCTGTGCCTAGACTGCATGACACTAAACAGAGACTTGTGCAATGGTCTGTGGTCAGTCCCAACTTTCAAATGCAGAGGATCAGTGGGATAGTGAGCAAAATGAAGGCAAGACACTCCCTCCTTTGCCTTTCATCCCTTGGCTCAGCTTGGAAAGCCAAGAAGGAATTGCCCACAGGCGGGTGCCTTCCTGAAGCAGATGTGCCGGTTCTTCTCATCCATCCACCTCTGCCTCAGGACTCAGAAACTTGTCTCTTCTCTCTTCTTCCTGTGCTCATCTCATCAGACCCTCTGCCCTGGCTCTGGCCTCTTCCTGATTTATTTCCACAAACCTTTCTTTGGCTTTCCCCTCTTCCTTGAGTCATTGTTCTCTGCACTCTTAGAGAAAGCTGGCCCGTTCCCTGACCCTGCCCCTTCATACAGTTTGTTCATCACTGCTTGTGATGATATGCTGTTGGTGTCCCCAGATGCGGGAAGCATCTTTGGATGCCGGCATTGGCATGCAATCCTGGAGAGGTCACTGTCTCACTTAATGTTCCTCCTTTTCTCACCATACAGATATCTCTTATCCCAAACTAGGGTAATTACTGGGACCCCATGGGGGCGGGTTTTCTCTGGGGTTGAGGAAGAGAGGTAACCATGGGAGGGGCCATAAATTTTAGTTCCCAGACCATTGCGTAAATGTGGGATGTTTCCCTCTCAAGTTCACTCCTGATTTTATTCAGTTCACAACAATTATTCCAGCAGCTGCAGTCCCACCCCATTAGTGCTTTGGAAACCGGTGCTTGCTGGGTAGGGGGCAATGTCTGTGTATGTGTTGGCAGTGGGCAAGTAGGAGGACAGGGCATAAGAGATCTATCTAGGACACTTCATGGGTGACCTTGGGCAGGCCAAGGAAACTTATTTATCAGTTCTGGGTAGCTCAGGCACAGCAGTATCCCAGTTCCACCACTTCCTTCCAGCCATGCCAGGGTGAGTGCTCCATGACTCTGGGTGAGAGTGGGGGGTTCCTTTTACTCTGCTTGTATCACAGAGGTCACTGCTTGCCATTCGAGGGTGTGTGTGTGTGTTTGTGTGTGTTTGTGTGTGTGTGTGTGAATAGGCATGGGAGTTCAGATTGTCTTGTTGGAGAATGGAGATAGGGAAACGGTTTGAGAGAGGAAAAGGAGATAAATACTGACACCATAACGAGTTTTCCCCAAGGAAGATGAGATGTTGGCGGGGGTGGGGTGGGGGGATTGTACAATGTCAGAGGCCCAGGGGAAAAGTGGGATGTACGTTCAATTGCATATTTGAAATAATTCTACAAAGACATTTCCTTACTGCAAGGAAAAGAAGAGTAATTCTGGTGTGTGATCCTCCCTGAAGATGGTACACGGGTAAGCAAATCTAAGTCTAAATGAGGGAGTTTCAATGAGAACAGCCTCATTGAAAGGGATTTTTGCAGGGAGTTTAGAGGGGGTGAGAGAAGAGATCAGCATCTGCCTCAGCCTCGGTGTTCTGGGTGCTCCTTGGCCCATGTATTCCTTAGAGCAGGACTTTCTTATATCTCTCTGGCCCCTGCAGGGAAGAACAGATTTTGTCTTTTCCAGAAGTGATTAGACCTTGCAATCATATTTCTGCGTGAGAAGTCAGTGTCTGCAGGGGAAACTACCAGTGATTCTAACAGATGAGTACCAAATCAGATCCAGCTAGCTGGACCCTGGGGCAGCAAAAGGGACTGAATGGGAACCAGACACAGAGCCCAGCTCTGGATGTAGACAGCCTACCTTTCCCAATTGGAGCTCTGTTTTCCCCAGGATCTCTACTTCTACCTTGCCCTTTTTAAAAACTTCCCAGGCTAGGGCTGGAGCTGATGGACAGCAGGTACCCACTGATTTCGGGGAGGGGTTAGGGTGGAGGTCAGTCTGATCAGAGAGGGCTGCCAGTATTCTCCAGGGACACGAGCTCTGCCCAGGACATAGCCTAATAAGTCTGGCCTCCTTTGGACACTCTATTCCTTGCTAGTTGTCTCTTATCCAAACCTGTTCCTTCCTCCTCACCCCAAGTAGATTCATTAGTGTCTTGGAGATGAGGACCATTCTGAGGAGGGACTGTGTGGCTTCTTCTTCTTCTTCTTTTTTTTTTTTTTAAGATGGCTAATTAACAGATGGGCAAGGAAGCTATTAGGATGCTGTAGACGCAGTTGGTAAAGTCAAGAGATGCTCAGGGCCCTCCCACTGCCTGCACGGGGATGGAAGAGATGAAGGGAGGTGGGCAGGGGAGGGATGCTTAGGGCGGTGGGAAGACAAGCCGCAGTGGATATCATCAGCAAACAGTGGAAGTATTAGGAGTCCACTTGTCAACAGGCTCCTTCATCTTTGATTTCCCTGCTTATTTCTAGAGAAAGTCAAGGGAATACTTTGTTTTACTCTTTCTCCCTCCAGAAATTAAATACAAACCCCAAAGAGCTGTTTTCCCTTGTAGGTCACATAACTGCAGAAACAGTATCATAGTGCTGGCTGATTTGTGAGGAAACTCTTCCTGGGTGCTTGGGCGATGAATTGTCAAATCCACGCGAACACTTGATTTTTGGAGGTACTGTGGGCTCCCTATAGTGAATTGATCTAAACAGTCGATTTTTTTTTTTTTTACTTCGAATATAGTGATTGGAAGGAAAGGATAAAAAAAAATGTAATGCCTTGGACTGAAGGTCTTAGCTTTGTGTTTTTCTTGAGTTTAAAAAAAAATGCATGTAGGGAAAGCTGGGAAATTGTGGAAGGATTTGAGAAGGCTTAGAGAGGAGGGATTAGGGGAAGGATTGCAGGAAGACAGAAAGATTCAAAGATAGCAGAGAGAGGAAAGCCATTGAGGGAGCAGTTGAGGGCCAACACTGATGGAACCAAGAGGCATTGCCCAGACTTACCCATGGGCTTGATTCTGTCCTGATTCTTGCATATACAGGGACATGGATGCATTAGTTCAACAAATGAGCTCTGCTCACCTGGCAYAGGCAAGATGAGTTTCAAACTGTAACATGTAACAGATACCATGCACACACTGTTCAAAAACTTCCAGACTTTGACAACCCTCGCTGGTCACCTTGCCCACTGTCTTCATATTAATTTCTCACCCTGCCTCAAGCCGAGAAGGCCTGCACATCTGTCCCTTTTCACCCTCCTCCAACCCTACCCAAGACTCAGATGCACATTCATTTCGGGGAATCTGCTGCTAAGATATCAAGAGCTTACCCACAGTTCTAGTCTGCCAAGATACAGGTAGCAAAAAAAAAAAAAAAGAAAAAAAAAGAAAATTCTAATTCATTGTTTTCAACCAATTTTAATGAGACATTGCACTGACTGTGCAGTTGATTCAAATCAATTGTACAGGAAGCAGTGGTTAAGACGGCTGCAAAAGTGAGCTGACTGAAAGAGGTTAATTCACTAGCCTCAGACAGACATGCCTGCGGATCTGGAATAAAAGGAAACTACACCCAAAGAAGCTTCATCCTTCGAGTTCTACCGCATGATTTCTCCAAGGCTGGCAGGATTGCATTCAGAACTTCACTTCTTGGTTTCTTTCTAGAGCCAGGGAGAAACCCCTCCCACATGTTCCAACTAGCACCCCATGCTGGGGTTTGGGGGACC